CGGACATGGAACATGAAAGATTGGGGTGAGACGAAGAGCATTGGACTATGCATGTACACTGCTCAACGTCCTTGAGGCATGGACGGAGGTACTAGAAGCTGTAAGCGCGGCAGGCGGAAGGGTATAATTATGGCTAGCCGGTGTCATGAAGCGTTCGAGCATGAGAATCAGGCGCGGAAATTTGACGCAGTGGTCACTGGCACTTGTAGCCTTCTGCGACGCCTCTTCGACTGTTGTCGACCAACTGCGCCGTTTTGGGCCACGGACAGAAGCGTCTCGTAAGCTTTACACCTGAGGGGATCATAATTTGTGATGACGGCAAAGCAGTCAGCCCGATCCTTCCATCAGCAGAAACATTTGCGCACTCGGAACACTTACCGTTCTGGAACGGACGCGGTGCTAGAACATCCGAGGAGTAGCTTCCGATCGTCTCGGTCGTGCTGTTCTTGTACGCAGCACCGATGATAGAAGTGGGAGCTGTGCCTTGCTCCACCCATTTGAAGAGCGCGAGGGTCAAATCGTGATTAGCATCGTAGCTCAACGGTCTCCAGCCAGCTTGATCCGTCTGACCGGCCGAACCAAAGTTGAAGGCGCCATCGCCCGAACGACAGTGGTTCATGCCTGGAATGGGAAAGAATTTGTAGCTGCTGGAAAAGCGCGAATAATTGTTCGTCACCAGCTTGTGATACCTGAAGCTGCTCCCGCTGGGGATCAATTGATCTGCCAAGCCGTGGTAATGGACCAGCTTGCCTCCTTTTTGAAAGTAAGGTCTCAAATTTGTGTTGAAACCAATGGTGCCTCCTGCGTCTGCTTGCTGGCCCTGAAAAATGACATCCGGCGTGACTTGAGTGTAAGGATTGAAAGCAGCGTTCTTATCTGTGATATTGAGAACCTGATACTTGAACCAACCGGGAGCAGCGGGGAAAGGAACTCCGCCTACGCCATCCAGGACTGTCCAGCCCGTCTCTGAGCCGGGGAGGACGGGTTCATGAATCTACAGTAGGAATCAACACGCGAAGAAGTGAGCAGCGTCAATGTGCGCGCGGGGCGAGGGTACGTACAAGCGTGTCGCCGATCTTGAAGGTTTCATAGATATCGTACAAGTTGTCGATTTGAGGTTGGGTCAGACACGAAGGGGTATCGCTTGAAGTGATGTTGTCAAGCTGTATGAGGCCATTATTACCCGTTAATTTGGCCTGCCTGCTTCGTGCAGTCAGCTTCACTGCATCAGACTCGGAAGCGATCGTTGGAATGATGGTCGAATCTGCCGCGACGCTCTCCTGGGCGTCGCATGCAAGCCTAGGGACGTAGTCGTGTGGGTCGCAATTGAAGACATCCCCAATGATGCCATCCATCTGTCCGTCCATGGCGTCGCACTGGTTGAGCGCTGCTTCGTGAATAGTCGCGTACAGCTCCTCAGGAATGTACCTAGGCGACGAGGTATCATTTTGGAAGCTGTTGACGTGGATCTGGTACGCGTTGAGATAATTATAGTCGATTGCCGGCGAGCCAGCCATGATTCCGTCAAAGTCTTGTGGATAGCGTTGTGCACTGACCATCGCCTGTCGGCCGCCGGTAGAGCAGCCCTTGAAATAGCTGCGGAAAGTGAGGCCAGTGGCGTCTTTGGTGTTCGCCCTGTCTGTGCCGAATGATTTGGCACCGTAAAATTGCGACACGACCGCTTTGCTAGCCAGGGTCGATACGTGCACGCCTCTGTAGCCAAAGTCGTTTTGAGACTCTGGAGATTGGATAGTCCACGTAGTGTCGGACCCTGAGCCCCAGTGACCAGCGTTGGTGCCTGCCGCTGCTTCTCTGTATCGCGTCAGGACTTGTTTGAGCTCAGGGTAGATGACGGTCCCCTTTTGACCGCCTGTGCCGATCAGAAGCATTCGGCCCCGCCAGTTGCCGCCAGATGCAGGAAGGCCGTCTGGCTTCTTGGACGTTGCGTGTACTACTTTTGGCAGCAGGGGCTGTACACTGGAGGCGGCGGCTGAAGGGGAATCAGAAACAGTGCTTCCCTCGCCGGAAGTGATGAAGTCGACGGCACTGGGGCTTAAAGCAGCGCTTGGGAATGGCAGCGCCGTTTCAAAGGCAGTGACGTCCTCGAGAGACGGTGAGTCACTTCGGGCGAGGACATGCTGGAGGGCTGGATTCTCACTTCTAAATGCCGCTGCTGTCGGTACAGGAGTGGATGATGAAGAAGCAACCAGCGGGTCTTTTTGCCTCCATGTTTTGGCAAGAATGAGAGGCTCTACGCGCACGAGAGGCGAAGAAATGTTTGGCGCAATCGAGCTGTCACCGAACGTGCCGTTTTGCAGACCATCACGAGGTAACGGCAGCCAGACTTCGAACCATGTCTGACTAGAATCGCTTGTCTCAATGCTGCCGCCGATACGACAAAAGGGCGGCAGCAGACCCAAAGCGGCCTGCTCCACCAGATCCGCCTCTCCATAACCTTTATCCATCATGACATCCGTCGTATCCCATTCTCCAGCACCGTTGATGGCGCCCTTCTTTGAATCTTTGGGTCCAAAAGCGCCATCAGGAATCAGATCGATCAGCTCCTTTGTGCTGGGATTGACACCTTGATAGTACGCTGCTAGGGAATTTTTCACTTTGAGCTTGGTACCACCGGGTGTAGCCTTGCCGCTGGAAAGCAGAGTTGGCAGGTAGGCTGCGAAAGCAGTGCAGGCAGACGCTTGTGGAGGCGCGTCCTTGGTAACAATCGTGCCGTTGCTGTTCGTCACGTTGCTGGTGCTGGGCGCCGCGAAGGTCGTGCTGGCGCTTTTCGAAGAGATCGACTTCGAAGCCGTGTTGGAAGGGCTTTCGACAGACGTGGAACGTGATGAGCTGGGAATGCGAGATATCAGCCCACTGCTGGAGGTTGCTGCTCGGTCGGCGGGTAAAGCAGCTGCGCTGCCCGCGGCCAGCGCTATGCCAAGTGCCGGCCAAATGAGCAGCGAGGATCTCATTCTGCCAGGAGCTCTGAGCAACGAGAAGCTCGAGATTGGGTCCAACGAGGCTCAGGACGGGGGGAAACCGTTGGATGAGACGACGAGGGTTAGCAGAAAGGGAGAGGCTGGGCGATCGAGCTGGACATGAGGAAATCTCATTCGAGTGTGAGTGTGACGATGGAAGAACTGTCATCAAGTTGTCCGTCACCACTCATATACAGGAGAGAGCATCATGTCCCCTGACGGTATGGCAGACGACCTTCGCCTTCAGCAAGGCGCCTCTCCAGGCAAGGCGGAATGCCGAGGTCAGCAAGCATCGGCACCAAGCGTCGTGAAGGAGGATCATCAGCGTGTCGACGACCACTCCTCCGGGCCAACGCATGCAAGCGAATCATCAGCAAGTCGGAGAATCAGTCGTGTCGTGAGTGTCCGAGCCGTCAATCAAGGGTGTGATCGAGTGCACGGAGCAGCTCGTCTCAGGAGGTGGACCTTGTCTGTACCATCTGAATCACAATCAAGACATCACGGCAGAATTTGAATGTAGAAGGCGTACGTTCGAGCGACGCACGCGCGGTTCCTCTTGAATAAAGCGAATAAAGTGCAGCTCGAGTGCACCGGCCCTCGTCTTAGCTTCTCTCTGATCGCTTACTTTGTGGTGATCGACGGCATGCGCCAGCTATAAAACGGTCTCGGCCTCGACTCATCGAAGACAGCGAGCTGCATACTCACGCCTTGCCGGTCTCAGCGGCTCCGACGCTGAGACTGGCGCGGTCACGCCCGCGTCGCGCGCGCGGACGCAACTACCGTAGAGTAGTATAGCCCTACATACTACTATTTGCATGAGAGAGACGGCCGCGGCCGACCCACGTTCGGATGCGGCGGGGCTAGCAGCTAGCCTTGCTATAGCTACAGTACTTAGTCACTGAGCTGCACGGCCGCCGGACGAGCTAGCACGCATCGCATACATGCTCTCCATCAGCGCACTGTGACTGCAGAAGCACTTAAGCTCGCGCTTGCATGCATACAGCAGCCAAAAATCTCATGAGAGTCGGCCGAGCGTCCAGCGAACTGCAGGAATGGATAGTCTCGAGGAGCCAAAGCACAGTACCCTACACCAAGAGCCTCGCGTTTGTTTACGTAGGTGAAGAGTAGGCATTCATGCCATCGGCATCCTCTCATGCCTCGACGAGCAGAAAATGCCAGATCGGTCGCAAGCTCGGAACGAAGGTCTAGAAAGCTCACACGTCATGCAAGACTCACATTTGCGATTCACGATTGTAGCAGACGTGTTTCGTGCACCTCTGTGACTGCTACTCTCGTACCGCTCCGAGTGCCAAGGAAGTAACGCTGCCAGCGCGGCCATATGGGACGCTGGGCCGCTGAAACGAGCACGCACTAACGAAACGAAGATCGGAATCGCAGTATTGCTGTTCAAGTCTACCTGGCAGCAGCTTCACAGCGAATCTTACTGACACTTTCAAAAGGCCTCTGCTTGTCCCTGCCCGATAGCCGGACCAAGACCGGGCCTTTTGGCTGGATGTGTGAGAGACAAACGCACGTGAGACGCGAGCCGCTTCACGAGAGGGTGCATGATGTGTCTCGGTCGACAGGGTATGCCATTGAAACGCGGAAGCAGTCGACTCTTGAACTTGCGAGCGATCAGAATGGTCTCGCAAACAATACAAACAAGCGTTTGGGAGGGGTCGCAATTTATCAAGCTGCCGAACCACCTGAAAATGTAGCCGTCGGAGATAAAGAGCGGAACAGTGCGGGCGTCTATTTCGTGGCCGAGAAGAACCAGCTGGATCTAGCCTTTGGCGAGCTCGAGCTTCAGCAAGGAAGGGACTCTGAATTAGATGATGTGGCAAAGACGCGCTTGTCTTCTCTACTCACTCGATAGACTGGGCTTGCGCGCTCGCAACACCCGGATGACGAAGCCCTTGGGCAGCTGCGCCAGGTCCAGGTTGAGGTCCCGGCTGTCCAATAGGCCCACCACCGCGGATAGGTTTCGCGATGCGACCAAAGCCAAGAGCTGCCCCAGTCTGAGCTCCTGCAGGTTTTGCCTGTCTGTGACTCATGGCTTGCTTGAGGTTGGCAACTTGGTCGTCGAATCTTTCGTTGGCTCGCTTCAAATCCGCCTGAGCTTCGGCAAATTGTTGCTCCAATTGTGCGATGCGATCCTGTCTGTTCATCAGCTTCTTTGTGCTGGCGTTGATGTCTTTCTTAAGCTGCGTGTTCTGGTCAACCAAGCTCTTCTGAACGCGAACGAGATTGTTTAGGTTGTGCTCCAAATGCGCCATCTTCTTCGCCTGAGACTTGACGTTGGAGTTGCGAATCAAATTGTTGGAGTGCTCGCGCGTCGTATCAAGGGCAAGCTCGAGCTCAACAACCTGCGCGGCCATTCCAATATTCAGCGGATTTCACGTTGTTCACTGGATGCGATTCTCAAGCTACACCAACTCACCTTCTCGCAGCGATTCTGCAGGTCGCGCATCAAGTTCTTGCGCATGTTGTCGAACTCTGCCAACTGCGTGGTCATCGAGCGACGCACTCTCTCCATCTCGCGAGCTTCCTCAGCCAGATTCTTACCTCCATCTGCCGCAGCCGAAGTGACAGCCAGAGCGCGCTTGAGCTCGTCATGCGCGGAGCGCAGCACCTCGTGATTGTTCTGCAATTTGGCTTTCTCGTTGGCGCGAAGCTCCAGTTGTCGTTTGAGATCCGCAATCTCGCCTAGGTGTGCCTCTCTCTTGCTGGCATATTGCGCCTCCAGCTTCAGACGAACCTCTTGGGCAGCGTCGTTGTAGCCAGTTGCGTTCGTCTCATCGTTCTGCATCGTCTTGTCGAGCAGCTCATCATACTCGGCTTCGAGTTTTGCAAAGCGGTCCTCGAGCTCGTCTCTGCTTTGGGCGAGGAGTTTGTTCTGCTCCTCTGCCTGCTGCGCACGCTCGGTATTCTCGCGAGCCACTGATTGCGAATCGTCGAACAGCCCTTTGATCTTTGCAATGTCTTCAGAGGACAAATTCCCCTTATCGCCAGCGACCAGGTCCAGCTTGGAAAGAGACTCCCGCACCTGTTGCTCTAGAGCTGTGAAAGCACCCGCAGTGTAGCCCTCCATCATCTGACCCACCAGCTCTGCTTTCTTCCGATCCCTGTCCGCTTGAGCGGGATCGGCACTCTGTCCAACACCAGTAGCACTGCGTCCAGGCTCGTTGGCGCTCCTGCGGTTATCCTCGATTTCTGTGTGCAGGTCCTGAATCTGCTCTTTCAAAATGTCCACACTGATCGTGGTCTCCTTGTGTTCGTAAATGAGCCTGTCATGGGCAAGCTTGAGCTCTTCCAAGTCTTTGGCATAAGTCTTATTAGTGTCGCTGAGTTCGGCCTCGCGCTCGCGGAGGAATGCAAGCTCGTCTTCAGCTTCCTGCAGCTTGGCACGCGTCTCCTTGAGAGCGTTCTCGCGCTCAGTGACCTGATCTGCCAACTCGTTCTCACGCCGCAAGAACTCATCCCGCTCATCCTTGTCCATCGAGCCACTTGAGGGTGTTTCTGGTCTTGACTCGCGAAGAGCCTCGATAGCAGGCGTGATTGGTCTAGTCGACGGAGGCCGAGAGGCGGAAGCAGGTGCGATGGTACCGGATTCTCCGGCAGATGCACCAACGACGACCTTTGAGAGATCTGCCCACTCGCTCTCCGCAACTTGTGCGCCGCTTCGCCATCGCTTGACCTCGGTCTCCAGAGCAGTGATGTAGGCTTGCTGACGGGCAGCGTCGGCCTGCGCCTTTTTGAGCAAAGCCTTGAGTTCTGCGGGAGACAGCTCGGCATTGACGCGCGCCTTGTTCTTGATCGACTTGGCACGAACACCGAAGCGAAGAGTTGATATGGTCTCGTCCTGATTGTAGTAGCAGGGTGAGCAGTTGATGATCAGAGTGGTGCGCGAATTACCTCCAAGCGATTCCTGAAGGATACGTGTCAATTTGGAATCCCTGTAAGGAATGTGGGAAGACTTCATGAAGAGAGGTGGGCGGGTAAGACCATGATGAACGGCGGAATGCTGTCAGCGATCAGGACGTACCTTGCCGTCTGTTAGAGCATTGATGACCATTCCCAAAGCACTGAGACTCTTGTTGATCTTCTTTGCCTCCTCTAACGTCTGACCCGATGCTCCTGTCTTGCCAACCTTCTCTGAGCCTGCCAAATCGACAAGGTACAGATTTCCTGACTTCTGCGAGCCCGTCTCGGTGTTTCTCTGCTGAATGGTCACCAGAAAGATGGAGTGCGAGCGCGATGATTCGGCGTTCATGTCTGCATGCAACAGCAATGGAAATGGTGGGATGAGTACTCTTCTCCAGCAAGCTAATCCGACATGAGGCCAAGCGACGCACTTGTCGAGGACACCGCCCTAGCCAAGCCACCCTGGCGCATGATTTCGTACACTTCGGACTGATCCGATACGTAGTAGTCTGATAAGCCCTTGATGTAGACGCCGCGACTCTTCTCTTCATGAATTTGCAGATTGTCATTCTGGGGGGCCAACAAGTCTCGAATGCGCTCCATGTAGATCTCCATGTACGAGACTTTGACAAGGTATTCCAAGTGTGGCGGGCTGATTGCGATGTTGGTAAAGATCTGTTCGGTGATACGAGGGATGATACCTTTGAGGTCCTCACTATCGATGTCAGATCCCTGTTTCGCCGGCCACGCATCCATCAGCAACATGACACGGGTTCAGGCTGCCACAGCTGAAGTACATACCATCATGGTGAAGGTCTTGCCCGAACCGGTCTGACCGTAGGCAAAGATGGTGCCATTGTAGCCATTGAGGACATCTGTGGCGGAGCCAAGATGATGTCAGCTGTGTATCATTTGACTGCTAGCACTCCCATGGGGTGCTTCACTCACCATCCACAGTCTCTTTGATACCGTATTCGAACACGTCCTGTTGATGAGTGCCCATCGGAAAGACGCGGTCGAACGTGAAGCCGGCGGCTTCCGGACCTGAAGTCGGGCCATTTCTAAGTTTGACTGTGGTACCCTCCGAGTCATCGAAATCCACTACGATGTCCCCGCCCTCCTTCAGCTCGAGGGAGTTGGGAGGACGGAATCTGTACAGCAGGCGAGTGAAAGGTTGCGCGGCAGGTCTGAGTTTTCAGTATCGCAGGCAACCAGTTCACTGTGCAACGCATACGCACCGCGACACTACTTTGACATTGCCTGACATGATGCGCGCTGCAGATTTGGAATGCTGCGGCTAAACGAATCGACGACTATGAAATCTTGTGGGACTTTGAGGTGGATCTTTCGCCGATGAGCGGACGATGACAGCCGATGGATTTGCGTTGTCAAAGGTCCGGACAGACTGTTGGGCCAGCCAGGAACGCGTGTCACTGGCCGAGCTCGATTGTGCCACCCGGACAATTTGACGAAGATGTGTGCGTGCGCAGACTGGACCCGAGCGATGTGCTGACCTCGAGAAGGGACGGTCGGGCGGGCAAGCGATGGACGTGATGGACGTGCAAGCAGCCGAGACGGTCACAACGTAGGCGGGGTGTTGGTTCGTCGCACCTCTCACGGTGCGACGCGAGCACAAATCCACGCGTGAATCTGAATGAGCAGCGCCTGAAAGCAGCAACAGCAACTTATTGACTGCATCAGCAGCTGAGCGGACCGGGCACGGGGGCCGCGCGCACGAGCACCCCGAATAATGGCACAGCAACACTCGAGCACGTGATCAGTCCGAAGGCGCACACGTGCATTCAAGATTTCATTCGTGATTTAGTCAAACTGAATCGAGTATTATGATTCAAGATTGTGAGTATTATTATTACCGCTGCGCCGAGTGGCACAAGCCAGCTTGATGGCACCTCCAGATGAGGATGACCTGCACACGTCGGGGCTTAGCGAGCATCGTCTCCATATGATAGAAGCACCTTCGCCCGGTTGCTATACTTTTGACTGATCTTCGTGCTCACTCGACGCAACCTCGAAGGTAGTGCCTCCAGTCCTTCACTGTCGTCGCTCGCGCGCCGGTATAGGTGCAGTTCAGCTCGGAAACATGAACGCGTATCCACCGGATCTTCTCTCACACCATTATCCGGTGCTGATACTTTCGGGAATCGTCCCGCCTCTTGCAGGACCGAAAGGAAGAGTCGAACATGCTGGAACAAGCGCTGCTACCAATGCACCCCCTTCGCTCGTCCCTCCAACCACAGCGTACCCCCAACTTTGTGCGGACCTGAGGGCTCTAGTAGCTACTCGAGGTCGGGACACGCCTTGGGATCCTGCAAGAGCCAAGAGCACAGCATTCAAGACGCTTCTCGTGGATAGCGTGAGTCGTTGTATGTGCTGCAGATATTTCGCTGCGATCATCTGACAAGGATGCTCCGCTATCGCAGAATCATCGGCTGCCGGTTCGGAAGAGCCGTCCTTTGCCCCGAGGCCTGACCGCGCCGCCCTCACCCACCGATCCAGACGATGCTCAGTCGCGAGCTCACTCGGTGCTAGCAGCTCAGCCTGCACGATCGCCCTTGAGCCCGGCGCATCCAGCCTCGCCGCTTTGGCCTGATGGCATCATGACGCCGCTTTGGCTCAGGAGGCATCGAGAGCAGAGAGGCGCAGTGTGGGTGATGGTGGCTGTGCTACCTACACTCTCGAACAAAGCTGCATCCACCCAAAACACAGAGGATCGCGCTACAGCGGAGCATGAGCAGGTTGGGGTAGCTTCGGATGCTCAGCAGCTGAAGGAAACTGACGAAGCTCTGATCAAGGTCATCGCTGAGAGGAAACGAACGATGTCCGAGCGAGGAATTAAGTTGACAGTAGTGCTCCTGACCGAGCGAGAAATGCTAGGTGGGTCTTGCGACTCTTTCAATTGCCTGCGACCAGCATTTGACGACTGCTTGGCACCACAGAGTCCTCGACACTGGAACCTCGATTATCGCACATCAGACGATCTTCGTCGCTCGACTCCAAAGCGAGCCTCTTCGTCCTCACCCCAGTCGGCCGGTCCGATCTGTCAGCTTTTCTCACCTCGCTACACAATGCGCTACATTCTAACGCGATAGATTACTACGCCGAGCAGGCCCGCCGCGTTCGCAGAAAGCGTTCGCGATATCCTCCAAATACTTCTGCGGTCTTCGATGCTATGCGTGTGATCAAAAGTGGCACGTCTGGCTCAGCGGATCTTCCGACACCGCCTCTGAGTAAAGATGGCTGGATAGTGCGAAACGAATACAAACTCGGCACCTTTCTGGAGTTGAGCGGCGATGTCCCGACTGCACTGACCCATTACGCGGCAGCATACGCAGGTCTGCTAGAGCTTCTGAGGTCAACTGCAGCTCTGCCACCCCGCACAAAACGGTGGGCAGAAGCGAAAGTTTTGGCTGATGCACTCAGCTTGAGGATATCAAGACTTTGCTTGTACGACGATAGACCTGATGACGCCTCTACACAGTTCGCCCAGCATCTGGGTACCTTTGGGGAGCTGAGCGCGGGCTGGGGTATGGGCGCAGAAAGCGCAGAGTGGTGGAGTTGGGTGGGAAAGCAGTGAGTTTGACACATCCAACTTTCAGACACATCGCAAGCCCGCTAGCTTGAGCGCTAATTACCTCTTCGACCTCCAGATATCGTTTGATGGGTGATCTGACAGATCTTTCCCTCCGAGCATCTCAGCTGCCCGCCCTTCCACAAATGGTGCCGCCCCTGCCGGCGCACCTCTCAAAAGTTCCGTTTGTGCCCCTTGCGCAATCAAGAGGCCCAGCGGCGTGCTGGTACGCGGCAGGACTCTGCGCTGAAGAGCGGCGGCAACGCTTCAAACGCATGAATGAGGTCGAGTCAACAAGAGGGAGTGATTTAGCCGCCGCTACCGGCGGCTGGAGCGTACTTGAACACGAGAAGAAGGTGGATCACGCGGGACTGATTGCGGAAGTGAGTGTCACATGTGTCCGTGGCTGACTAGAGTGTCGCTGATGCGGGAAGCTCCTCACGCCATCAGGCCTTCCTACGCTCGGACGAACTCGCCAAGCGCGCTGGGTTCACTCATACAGCTCCACTGCTTGCAGTCAAGATTGCAGAGGCGCAGAGATTTGCCGGTGCTTCCTCTCAAGCAGTCAATTTTCTGGAAAGCGTGGTTGAGCAATATCCACGAGACGAACATCACGCGCTTGTAGAGGTGCTCGAAGCTATGGCCGATGCTGCGTTGGATATGCAAGACACTCCCGCGCAGCTTCGTGCGCTCGTTGCACTTCTTAGTCCCGGGGTGCAGCTGGACCCTACAGCAGGAGCGGAGCGAGGTCAACGACTCGGAGCGCTTCTTTCGGGGCTGTCAATGAAAGACGATGCCAGCGAGGTGCCGCACCCGCAGCCTCAGCAAATCCAGTCCGGATCCAGCGATGGGTTGTTCAGTGTCGAGGCAAGCTTCATGAACCCACAAGCAGATCTCGGCAGTTTTGCCCACTTTCAAGTGCGAATTGCAGCGCCTCGAACAAGTTTCGTCGCTGGTGTACCAGTCGAGAGGCTTATGCTTTGGTATGACGAGCAAAAGCCGCCAATAGTCCTCACACACGATAGTAGCATCGATCAGACATCTCAACCCACCTCCCAAGTGCTCAAGCTTGACGAGCCAATTCGCGTGGACGACGGCCAGACCGACGAGTCGTCGGTGACTGCAGCGTGCGATTTACGTTGGAGTCCAGGCTCGCTAAAAGTGATACAGGGCAGCTTCATCGCGCAGGAGACGCCACGGACAATCCGATTTTTACGCGCCCAGATCAATACACTTCCCACCAACACTGCCCTGCAGCTCCACTTCTCGTTCGCTGGACCGCAACATTACTCTGAGCCTGCGCAACCCGTCTGGTACTCCGCTCTCTCGGGCCCTCGCGACTCGAGCGAAGGAGTCAAAGCGTCGTACGTGTACCTGGCTCATGCGGATGATCCGGCGTCAGTCATCTTTCGAAGGCGCCCACATCGAGTCGACGTCAAGATCGATCATCCCACAGTCGCGTTCTTGGACGACGCGACGCCCGTCGACGTGGCAGTCACGAATCAGGACGATGAGAGTCTCCATTGCACCGTGGACGCTGTCATAGCTCCTGCACCCGCGGGCACTAATGCAGCTCTCATCGCGCAGGCGACTAGAGACGTGCTCTTCGTTACGCCAGAGACAGCTCAGACTCATGAGCGGAACGTGCGAGACATGAGCCTGGGAATACTTCAGCCACGCGAGACGAAGACTCAGCGTTTCTTTGTGCGCACTTGTGGACATGCTGCTCACCGCTTCGTTGATGTGTTCGTGCGCAGCATTCCTCCGGCAAGCTTGGAAAGCGCATCGCTTAGATCTCCTGGAGGAACGCCTCAGCCTCACCCTCTCACATTCGAGTCATCACATTCTGTAACTTTGGATGCTCGAGCCATGTTCACATCGACTCATGGCGCGGCCTGGCGTGAGCCTCGAGATGCGCCACAAGAGCTCTCCAGGACGCCCACAAGAAACCACTTCCTCGAAGCCTCGGACTCTACCATCGGAGACGAGTCGTCAGACGGAGGCGACTCTTTCAACGCATTTCAAGTGGACTCGAATACCTCGCATAGCACAGTGGCGAACGTGACCTCTTGCCTGCACATCCTTGGAGAACAGAAGATTCTCATCAGCTCTGTCGCTCTCGAGCTTGATCCCGGCAGCACTCACTTGCGTTTGGACAAATCCGATATCAGCGAGGCAGCTCAAACCATCACGGACGACGAATGGAGCGGTGGAGACCGATGGGGCACAGTGCACGAGATCGAGGTTCTGAATCGCAGCGCCGCTGAAGTTTCGAATGCACGGGCTGGACATGAGGCGACCACCTCTTCTTGGTCACCGGATGGTACCGTGAGGCCTACAGGTGTACTTGCAGTGGCTTGGAGACGGCTGGATGCAGATGAGGCGCCTACAAGCCGCCTGAACTTGACACGCCTGCCGATACCTGCTTTGTTACCGCCTCACTTGACCGCAAGGCTGCTCGTTGCTTCGCCACCAGTAGCTCTACTGGACCAGCCTTTCGTGATGCTCTTCACGGTGAGTGGCCAATCTTCCCCCGACTTCGCAAGGGCTGAATTGCTGACCCACTCCCCACGCTCTTGCGTGTAGGTCGTGAATCCAAGTCCAACCTTGACTGCAGACGTCTTCGTCGGACTAGACTCTTCAGAGGTCTTCCTCCTCGCAGGCCCGCGCACCCTGAGTATTCCTAATCTGGTGCCTCGAAGCACGCGCAGCGTTCCGGTCAGAGTGGTTGCGCGAGCGGAAGGTCGGTTCGTCCTTCCTCGCGTCAGGGCATGGGATAGAAGACCTCGATTCTACCCAGCGAGCACCAAAGCAGCAACAAAGCTTGGACATGCTGCGTCTGCCTCGATTGTCTCTCAAGCCTCTGCAAATGCTGCGCCGACCTCCGCGAACAATGCACGGGGGTCGGATGAATATGGGTCGCCTTCTCCTTCCTCTATCCCCAGGGAGATGGGCGGGGAGGAAGTAGGAGCACAAGCCATAGTGATGAACGAGCGCGCCGGATTCGGAATCCCTCTCAAGGTCAAGTGGCGGCCCTCGACTGGTTCTGGTATCTCTAGCGGCGGTCAAAGGGCCTTGAAAGCGGAGCACCAGAACGGCGGCCTGGCCTCCGTCCTTTCGCCCTCGCAGCTCGCTGCCGAACAGAGTGGCACTGCGCTCAGTATACTAGTACATCGTCAGGTTGCTTAAGACGCACATACTCCCTCTACTGCACAGAATGATACACACCCGAATTGGCGCCCGAATGCCAAGATCGTGCTGGAAGATCACGATTGAGAGCTGCTTCCGTCTGATCGAGGGCTTCTTCATAGCGCTGTCCGTGACAATCCAGGAGACCCTGCGCCTACGATGTTGAAACGCGGGGCTTCGTTCCCAATGCTTATCCACCATCCTCTTTGGAGGCTACGCGATTGAACAGTACCGGATGGCACGGCGGCCTGAGCGCCTGGTCGCAATTGGTCTGTAGCTCTGCCTTTGGTGTTGACATCCGGCTCTGAGACTGCGTTGAGCAGTTCCACTCCGTCTATTGACTCGTGTACGTCCGCACGCCCCACTGGACCGGCACATAGGTTGCGAGCGAACAGTTCCACGACGACCGGGCTGTCTTGATGCCGATGCGGGGGCAGTAGAGGCCTCAGAACGTCTAGACAAAAGGCGACGACAAGGCCGTCCGTCTTCGTGGTAAGCATAGACAACTATTTTGCAGTGCATTGCGGCAGCGCCTCGAAGCACTCACCAAAGACGTACGGTTTGCGACTGTGTCCGAGAGGGACGGACACGATGACGGTCCTCCTCTGGGCGCACTCCCTAGCTTCAGCACGAGCCAGCTCCATGCGTCTTGCTCGCGCCTCGACGCTTTGGGAATCTGCTGCGCCGATATATCGACCCAGAAGCAAGACCTCGTGGCTTTTCCTGCCCGTCTGCAAGGCGAGTTCTGGTGAAATGACTAATTGACCACCTTGACTGACGCAAGCGTTGTCGTCCTGGCTGGATGCCAAATCATTTGAGGGAAACCGTCGATTTGTGCCAGAAGCTGGGCTGCCGGTATCCCCTGAGGCAGATGAAGCGGTCACTTTGAGCCAGCCAATCTCCCCAATCGGAACTACATCCCATGACCTGAAGAGCTTGCCGAGCATCAAGTGTCGAGCTTTGGGCTGCTCGGTGTGATTGCGTCAAATGTGGGATCAAGGAGTAGTCATCAGCAAGATTTTGGCGCCTCTCTACATCGGCACCCTTGCTCACATCATTTGTAACCCAGCACGCCACGAGCGTGGCCCGTTCTTTCGCATAGTGTGAATCGAGTCCCGTATTTTGCGCCAATGAGCGTTCAGCTGAGCCTGCCCTGAGAAGTCGGGCGACACAATCTTTCAGCTTCCAGAGATCGTACAGATCCTGCACTGGAGAGTAGGCTTCCTTGTGCTTGTTGCGTTTGCTAGCTCTCGCGACCGAAGCATTCGGATAGGGTGGATCCAAAAGCAACAGCGAAAGTTGCTTTGTATGCACTGCACGGATAAGAGACGCAATGCAAGTACGCGAAAGACGCAGTGTAGCGCCCGAGTTAGTCAAGAGTAGCGCATGCTTTTGGAAGCATCGCATTCGATCAAAGTGATACACGCACAGAATTGAAGCGCTTCTGGAAATCCGCTTGGCAGCGTCAGCTGACTCTTGAGCAGGTCCGTCAGAAGAAACCCAGAATGACATGGCATGAGAAGCGTGGGCTGCCGCGTCTCGCCTTGCTCGGATGCTTCTCCCTCGCGTACATCGGTAGTCGCGATTGCAAGCTCTTCAGCATGACTACTCGATTCATTGAGAACCAGGCGATGAGCCAAAGAAAATGTGTTTGCATCTATACCGGCGCCTGATGGGACCTGATGAGAGGCTTGGGGTACAGACCGAGATTTGGCGTGAAGAACGTGCTGGGATTGTCGTGAGGATGCGTCGCACTGCCTTTGCTCGATTGCGGGCCAGTCGATGACCGCTTGACCTGCTTTGTA